TAAGTATTTCTGTACATTTTGAATGCAATCTAACTTTCCAACTCAGAAAACGAAAAACGAAAAAGTGCCAAAAGTCTTCTCACATGGCTGAGCTGCTTTGCAATATACTTCACCACTGAAGAATACAAATATGTATAAAGTAAACTATGATGCAATCTAACTTTCCAACTCAGAAAAATGATAAAGAGCATGAACAAAGAACATGTAAAAACAAATGCAAAATTTGCACAATCTAAAATGAGAAACTGTAACTGCAAGTAACAAAGTCTGAGCCATGGTAAAGAGTTACATTGAACACCAAGCTGATCAGATAACTCCCTGGTTGGTCTGAAGTCCTTCTATCTCCAGGATCTGTACACATCGGCACATTATGCCAAAAGTCTTCTCACTGGGTGAGCTGCTTTGCAATATACTTCACATTGTTAGAAAAGGCTCCAGAAGGCCTTGGGGACATCAGTATCAGGGGCTGGAGCTGGACAGGCTCTTTCATCAGCACTTCTCCTTCCCTTTGCCAGCCAGGACCTCACATACTGTTCCGGATTGAACTGTCCTAGTGATGGTCCATTACATTTAATGAAAACCAGGCTGGACAGTCGGCTGACAGAGAGAGCATTCCTTTTTGCAGTAAGGATATCGTTCATGCAGCTGAATGCCCGCTCACACTCACTAGTGGAGACAGCGATGGTTCGGACTGCTTTCAGTAGAGGCTCCATGGCAGCAGGTGTACGGGATGCCCTGGTTTCCTTGTATTTGCGAAAGCCCTGAACAGTCTCTCTTCTGTCCACTTTCAGCACTTCGCACAAACGTAGCACCTCTACGTCCCCATACTGTACGTCTAACTCCTCTTCAGGCCAACTTCCAGGATGGATAACTTTCATGTCCTGGATTAGCTGATTGTCCCGGGCCTCCCGGCCATGTAATGGGATTTCTCTTGTGCTGACATGAGAGGAGGTTGTGGAAGTCATTCTGTGTCTCAGATTCTCTACCATACTGCGGAAAAAACTGACCTGCATGAATCTGTACAAGCCTGCCATTCTCACGCAGGGCAACACCCTTGAAGGACTTCTCAGCTAGAGCTGTATGAACTGTAGTCATGTGTGGGCCAGGCATGGTGACCATGGATTCAAAAACTCGTATTTCTCGAGTTAAGAGCCTATCTGCTGTAGGCAGTGTCATCTCTCTTTTTTGGAGTTGCCGAGAGAGGTCGCTGAGCTCTGTGAGCGCATCGTACATCAGTCCCAGATTGCTGACAAACGTTGCAGATGTGAGCACATCATCCAGGCCCTTGTACTTTGCTCTGTCTCTGGAATCCCTGCTCGTGTCGTTTGCAGCATTTGTGAAGTGATCATGAAGCACTCGGTAGTTTTCCCAGACTGCTCTGACGCTCCTTTCACTTGAAGCCACCCAGCGGATGGACAAAACACGCCCTATCACCAGGAGACACTGTCCGACTGCTTGCGCACACTGCGCTAACTGCCTCTGATTTTTGGGGGAGGCATGGAACAAGGAATAGAGTTTGTCAAAAAAGATCTGGAAATGATTGAGCCCTGAGACCTCCTTGACCACATCCCCAACTGCCAGCTCTAGACGATGATTGGAGCAGTGCCACACAAACAGGTTTGGGAATTTACTACACAACTGGGTAGCAACGCCTGTTCTCTTCCCTAGCATGACTGAAGCCCCATCACATGCAAAAGAAACGAAACACTGACCTAAAAAGTCCTCGTTAAAATCTCTTCCAAGACACTCCATTAACGCCTTTGTGATGTCATCAGCCGTTGTTCCATCCAACTCGATCAGCTCCCAAAAAAACGTTTCGGGCTCAGCATCAGCTAATGCTGAGCGTAGACACACAACAAGCACCGTTTTACCACTAATAGTGGTAGATTCATCGACCAAAACACAGAGTTTTCTTTGGTTTTCTGTAATGTATTTTGCCATTTTTTTCTTCAGCTCATGAGCTATGTGGTCGATGATTTCGCCACAGGTTTTATTGGAGTGCAAAACCCTGCCCACGTTCAGCCCATTCAGTTTCTGTACATTCAAATCAATTGGCATGTCTGTGAATGGCCGGCTATGTTTGCCAATTTTATATGCCGTTCGAAAAACTCTGATAGTGGTGTCTAATTCAGATTTATGCATAGACTGCACTTGATGTTGAATAGTTTCACGTGAAGCAGATGTAAGGATGTCAGCAGCTTTTACATGGGCTTGTGATTCTTTATGTTCTTTGATTTTTTTTCTCAGGCTAGCTTGTTGTTTGCCCTTGTCAACACCGAAATGAGACACTGCACACTCACCCCATTCAGTTGACAGTTTCAGTCCTTGTCCAGTGTGTATTCCCAAAGATTTGACATCTCTGCATATCCGACATCCTAGCTTCTTATCTTTAAGAAGGAGCCATGCATTGGTCTTGCAAAAATATTGCACCTGGTCCGTTGTCCAGCAGTCAGGTGCATCGCTTTGCCCGGTGTTGGTGGTGGCAGTTTCGCCAGCAGCAGCTAACGTTAGAGGCTCTGGAGGAGGCGGCGGAGCTAGTGCTAATGCTAATGCACTAGAACTTGGAGCAGGAGGATCAACCAAAGAAAGCTCCCCATCAGACACAATTTCCAACACAGGCACAGCATTCTCTGTATTTGAAGTTTCTTCCGGCGACAACCGCTGTCTTTTTGCACTTTTATTAATCCACGCTAACATTTTAGAAATGCTAATTTGTGACGTGACTTGCTTTCCTTCTCTCGGGGGCGTGCCTGCTCTGTTCTATCACTCTACATAGCCACCCACTGGGTGGGAGTTGCACTGCATAAACACAACACACGTGCATCTAGGTATGTAAATTGTAAAGCATTAAAACATGGTTTTACTAACAGTTTTCAGTATGTTGTTACTTCGGCATTATTATTATTATTATTTTGAAACGTGTATTACTATTAAATCACGGTCAAATAGGTTAATTTTGACATAGTCGTTTCCACCACAGTATTTACATGGAGAAGATAAGCCCCGCCCCCTCTCCAGCACGTTCTGTTTGAATGACAGGAGTAAACAGCTGACAGCCGCTGTGAAACTCCAGCGGTTAGAGCGATGAGAATGTCCGTTCGGCACCTCATGACGCATCTAGTGAGTACCGGGCGGCTGTATATATATATATGTATGTATAATAAGAACGGCGGGAGAGTGTTGAGTACTGGCACGGTGCATGAGTACCGGAGTACCGCCAGCATGCCGGTACTGAGCAAGAAGTGCCGGTACTCCATGGGTCAGAACCAGAAGTGCCGGTACTGCGTACCGGTGAGTACCGGCCCAATTCCAGCACTGCCGTAAACTCCTATTAAACATCCATGGTAAACTCCCTCAACGGGCTGCTCGCTTTCTTCTCTTGATCGCCCTTCTCACAGGAGAACACTTCACTGCCCCGCTTCATTGTAGGATTTCTGCCATGTCTCTACTTTAGTTTGACCATCTCTGTTATTAAGTTATGGAATACTAAATAAATAAGTAATTAGATACCTTACCGTTACTGCGCTCATAAAGAATGATAAGAATAGGAATAATGCATATTGAACTGGTTTCATTAATTAGTGAGTTTATTTAAGGTAATTATAGAAGCCCTATTTTATCAGTAGCCTATGTCTGCACAGCAGTTATAATGGTCAAACTACATTGAATTGTCCCCATTTTTTCTTTAGTTACTAACATTAGATATTTTAATGAGATATGGACAGCAAAACAAAAAATTCACCGAATGCAAGTAGTCGCCTTAGCTTATTTTGTTATGAGATGATGATGTGAATTACTGTTCAAATTAGTTAATGTAATAATCGTTTTGGTCTTATATTTTTTTTCGGGGGGGATGCCCTTTTTCCAGTTTAGAGCAATAGCCCCTCCAAATGTCTGTGCACGTCCCTGCTTTTCACCCTCTGTCTAAAACCAGAGCCCAGTCTCGGGCCTCTTAAATTTCCTTAAACATATACAGTAACTCCATCTAATATCTCAATCTGTCATATACAAAGTGCATCCCTGACACAAAGTGATTTTTGTCAGTGCTGTAATTGGGAAAGGGTTCAAAGTATGAGCACATCTACTGTATTTTACCTTCTTGTGACCATTTATTATGTTTTTCTGTGCTTGTTCCAGCAGAAAATTACTCATTGTTCGTTTAAATGCCAGCTGACCTTCCATTACTCCTGAGAAACACACCTACAAGGGCAGCGGGAACACTGAAATACAGGACTAAAATAGAGATTTGTCCCCCATAAAGTTTCTCACACACACACACACACACACACACACACACACACACACACACACACACACACACACACACACACACACACACACACACACACACACACACACACACACACACACACACACACACACACACACACACACACACACACACACACACACACACACACACACACACACACACACACACACACACACACACACACACACACACACACACACACACACACACACACACACACACACACACACACACACACACACACACACACACACACACACACACACACACACACACCTTTCTCCCCCTTGACAGTACTCCCCTCCTCCCCTTTGTGTGAGTCTAATGAAGGCAGAGTGTGTGGGCGAGCATTTACGCCATGCCTGGTTGCACGCGGTCACCCCTCCTGAGCAACATACATACAAACACATATACATAGACACATAGGAGACACACACACTCACACACACTATCCAGTCTGAGCCCTGTGTACTTGACTTCAGGTCGCCCATCTGCCAATCTCTGTCTCTCCACCTTTCACTTTCTTTCTCTCACATGCAAATGTTCACTTTTCCATCTGATTCGCTCCCACCGAGGGATCATTATCTTGGGCATAATTCAGACACGGAGTCATGATGTGGTTATCATCCCGACAGGGCACCGCACACTCAGCGTGCCTCTTAGTGAAAGGATTAAAACCCCCATCTCTCACAGTGTGTGTTAAATGAACGTGTGAACGTTGACCTACCCTCCTTTGATGTAGTCCAGGAAGGTGACTTCAATGTCCAGCAGGAAAGACAGCAGCGTTACCTAAGAGATAGAGCCACAATGAGCTTTTAGCCAATGATTATCACTAACCAACTGGATCTACTGTAGTAAGGTATAGTATTTAAACTCCAGCACATGTAAACAAAATAATTAATGATCTACGATTGTGGAATATTTACTCACCGTTCCAGAGTTGAGGTATTTTTTCTTCCTTCCTTTCTTCTTCAGATTTATCACCTAAAATTAGACAAGATGTGATTGATGAGATTACATGCTGTGAAGGTAACCTTTATCATTAATTTATTCCACAATAGCTGGCTGTTTACAGTAACTGCAAAATGCTCCACTATGATCAAAAGCTAGCAACTTTGCATGCCGCTTTTACACTGAAAAAGACACATAAAATGGAAACCATAACAATGAGCTGAAAGACGCTAAAATGGTATGTTGGGGTGACAGGAACTAGAAGAGTTGGATGATAATTATCTGTGGGTTTGTCACAACAAACATTGCTAATATTAAAAAAGGACTACAAAATATTGAAAGCAAAAGTTGAACATACACATTTTCCTAAAACCAATCACAAAATGCCAAACGTTATTCCCGCCTTAGCTAAAATCTTACACAGGATAGTTTGTATTCTTCTGCACGTCCCAACCCCCACCCACAGGACCCCTTGGAATATGTGAGGTGCATATGTACCCCCTGGGTGGCATTAGGGCGATGGATATCGCACAAGAGCCTTAAAAATCGTTCTCAATGTTTTCCAAGTCAATTTTCAATGCTGTATGTATCCAGGTTTTTTCATGGCCCCCCTGACCGGTTCTCATTCCCCCCCTGAGCCACCTATTTTTAAAATCCTTGACTCTGCCTGCCTCTCACTCTTCCCTCCTTACACCAGTAACTACCATGAATTTCCCTTTTAGCAATGCACTTAAAGCCCAACCTATCTAGAGGTGGATTATGGCTCTAAACAGGGGGGTGCGTCGTCATGAATATGTAACAGGACACAAAGTGAGTCAACCTTCATTGGATACAACTCCTACACTTCTAAACAAGCTTTACTTGTACTTAAAGAACACGTTTTTTTGAACAGATAACAAAAGTGGGCTTCAGTTAATTCAGTCATGCTGCGACACAAGATCATTAAAGCACAAATATGCTGGGCAGAAACTCGCTTTGAATCCCAAACATTATATCAGAGCTTTATGGTCTTATTAAAACGTGCCAAGGTTAAATCGAAAGAGAGACCCTCTTGAAAACCACATACGAATGAGTGGATTTATGCATTTCTCCTTGGTTCACATTGAAATAACACAAGGACACGTTTGCCTCTGGAGGTGAGGTGCATTGATTGAAACGGGTTGGCACCACAAAGCACACACACACACACACACACACACACACACACACACACACACACACACACACACACACACACACACACACACACACACACACACACACACACACACACACACACACACACACACACACACACACACACACACACACACACACACACACACACACACACACACACACACACACACACACACACACACACACACACACACACACACACACACACACACACACACACACACACACACACACACACACACACACACACACACACACACACACACCATCCTCTCACTTAACAGCAAGCTTTAAGTTGGAAGCCAGGGTCAAGACACAGGTCAACATTCTCAAAATGACTTTGTGTGTGTGTGTGTGTGTCTGCGTTTAATTTGTATGCTTTCTCACATATTGGTCCATGTGCCTCTGTGTGCACCTTTGTGCTTGTGCACATCAGAGTGCTGTTGGGCAAACAGCAGCTGTTTAAAACGACAGTCCCCTGTGATGCTCTGTTAATCAAGAAGTGTTGACTCTTCCTGGAGAAGATAAGCCAGCCATCCATCATAACTGTCTCTCAGTGTGTGTTGCAGTGAGGATTAAGATTTTGTGTGAGTCTTAAGAGAGCTCGATCAGCTTAATCATTTGTTATTATACTCTACTATGGCAACGCCCGTTCTTGATATGCTCTTGCCGCTGCTTCTTGGGTTTAAGAGTCAGTCTTTGCATGTGTTTACTGTAGCAACACTACAGATTACACATCATGAGTGTAAACGCCCCATTGTGTGTGAATGCCCCAGGTTTCATGAACATTCTTTATTGTTCTTGATATTTTTTCTCTCTGTTTTTTAAAAGACTATTTTACATTGCTTGAGTGCTCTTCAAGTTTGTCTTAGGATTTGCTCCATCCTGCTTTTTTACTGGGCTCATTTTGAAATGTTCATCTAGACCGCAACATACATTTTATAAAGATATGTCACATAACAGATTTCATTCCTAATCCAACGATCAATAAAAAGAACATATCATCTGCTGGATGGAAACCTGAGAGTATAAGCAGTCCAATAACTTGTCTAGAGAGGAACACACACACACACACACACACACACACACACACACACACACACACACACACACACACACACACACACACACACACACACACACACACACACACACACACACACACACACACACACACACACACACACACACACACACACCACACACACACACACACACACACACACACACACACACACACACACACACACACACACACACACACACACACACACACACACACACACACACACACACACCACACACACACACACACACACACACACACACACACACACACACACACACACACACACACACACACACACACACACACACACCTCATAGACGTTGAACTGGCTCTGCCCTCTGGATAGTTCTCTGTAGCTGGTGCTGAACTCCCCGATAAAGTCATGACTTCAGAGAGAAGCGAGGGAGACACAAAGAAAGAACAGAATAAATATTTAAGAAACAAATACAACTGTTTGACAAAATACACTATTTGATTATCCAAGGTAGCACACACTGTCCAGACCATAATGTAGTGGCAACCCATAGTTATGTGAGTAAAAGTAAGATTTACGATATTGGAATTTGTCGTTAGTGGATATTAAAGAAGACACCAAACGCTTTGATGGTTAAGAAAAACCCCAAAGCTCAGTTCATTGAAACAGTGTGATACAAATTGTTAGCGCTTCTCAGTCCTGTTAAAAAACACCAAAATGCCCCTGTGTTCCCGCTATCAGATTGAGTGACACTTATTAGATTGCAAAGCATAGAGAATAGATAAATAACAGAGTCCAGACTCATCATTAAAAAGTTAATCTGTGACGATCCTGCTTCCTTACCTACTGAAAACACTGCTGTTAATTAAGTGGGACTTGGATTAGTTTTGCTGTACACAGGAAGATAACGTGTGTTGAATGTCAATGTAATCAAGATAAAAGGTAATAAGATAATGAATTGCTGGATATTTAATGGTGATTGGGTATTGAGGTCAGATTTATATCTGTACAATAACCTGGTATATTCACAATCTTGTAACCAAACTCAATAGCAATATGAAAATTGGCTGGAATTAATAAATTGGTCTCCTATTAGGTTACATTTTTGAAAGATGAATTGTCATTTTTGTTTTTTTGTTGCTGATACTAAAAAATATATTTTTTGCGCTAGTAATCAACAAAAAATAGCAGACGATAATAATAAAAATAATAATACAATATATTCAATATTAAAGACTTACGGTACGTCCACACAGCAGCTTTTCAAAAATCTTGAAAATCTTGGAGCTGGGCGTGTCTGAAAGCTTGGGGATTTTTTGCGAGCAACGCGACCAACAACCAATCACATGAATCTCCCGCCCCCGACATACAAAGCAAAAAACCCCGGGGATTTTATGCGAGCAATATATATATATATATATATAAACTCCCCAAACAGGCGAAAACCTACCAGTTTCACCCACTGTCTCTGCCACCTCCCTCCATACTTGGTTCCTCCGGTTTGTATCCCGTTAATAGTTCTGGTCGTAAAGAACCGGGTGATTTGCTACCGTAATTTCTCGTTTGGAATATGAGGAAATGAACTGCGGTCTGGTTCTCCCAGCTTACACGCGGTTTGATTGGCTAGCGCTTCTACTGTCAGATTTGCATAAACGGGATTTGATTGGCTGACGCTTCCAGCTCAGCTTCAAAAGTTGAACATTGCTCAACTTTTGAATCCTGAAAATCCTGGAAATCCTGGAAATCTTCGCTTCGCTCCCCCACAATGCAGTTCGGCGAAAAGCGAGGCAAAGTGACGTCATCCCCATTCAAAGTTGGAAGCGTTGGAAGATTTGTTTAAAGCTGCTGTGTGGACGTACCGTTAAAATAACTTGATAATCAATAGTTATATTATGTAATTTTTTTTAATTTATATAATTGTTTTATTCCATTTAATTTGGTATTAGACATTTTTCTTTAACTTCATAAGATTCTATAAATATTTTGTCACGAAAAGTAGTATGATATATGATCCCAGGCTGCGATCCAAGGGTAGTGAAATAGCTAAATTGCTAAAATAACAATAGAAATAGGCATTAAAAGAGAGGAAATACCTGCCATCTCTGTCCCAGTCGTACACCTCGACCTTGATTGTTCTGTTGGGAGAGGAAGAAAATGAGAATCAGATAAACAAGACAGATTTGTTTTCTTTTTCTGAACTATGACTGTATTGTGGATTCTCCTGGTGTGCTTCCTCGTTGTAACACAGATAAAAGAACAGGGTTGCTTGACATTTACGATAAAAAAGGCAACATTTCAAGTGAAAAATGACTTACTATACTCAAATTTGCAGTGATAAAGGTCTACTTTCTATCCTTTTACGCAACACAATTATAAAATATAGATAAACTTGATCAGGAAAATGTTCAGTTCTTTCGTCATTGTTGTCATGGAGGCGTAAGGAGATCCATTGTGCAGCTTATCTTTATTCCAACACACTGTGTACCTGTCACTGTATTTATCTCTGGTAATGTGCTCTGCTCATTTCCAAACACATCTATTTCTGTATCCCATAAAAAAGCAAACCGAAGAGTCTGCAGGAGGCAGATATGCTGCCATATCAATCCATCGACCAATATCTTCACCAAGAGGGTAATTTCTCTGCTTTCAAAAGCAGGAGCGCAGTACGTGGGGGACAAAAGAACCGACACGGAATTAAAACAGACAGAGCAAAGGGCTCTCTGTGGCAGAAAATGAAGAGGAGTGAGCACGGGGAGGAGAAAACGGTGTAAAAATTACACCAAACTGACATGAAATAAATACAATATCATGTACTGCCATGTCAATCTTTACTGTATAAAAGTTGGCGAGCAGACAGTAACATTTCATGAATCTTTTATGACTTTTCCACAGCTTTAGAGATTTCTAAAACAAATCAAATACCTGAGGCAAAAAAAATAATAACTTCTACATACTCCTCGTCGTCCGATATGAGAAGAAAGTGGACATAAAAATCATCATTAAAGCGATGCTAAGGAAAGGAGGCAATACATGTGAGGAGGAGAGGGAACTGGCTGAGTGATTGTGATGGGCACTCCGGGGATGAAAGCGTCTCCTGGTTGGCTTAACACTCTCTCCTCCAGAGAATCGTGTGTGTACGCGTGTGTGCGTGTGTGTTCGTGGAGTGGCTGTTTACTGGGCGTGTCTCATTAAGGCAGCGAGTGTTATGCCTCATCTCTGTCAAAAAAAATCCCCCTCGCTCTGACGAGGTGACAGGAAATTGACAATGACTTCAATTGTGGGTTTCATTGTACGTGCGTGTATGCATGCTTGTGTGTGTGTGTGTGTGTGTGCATGCAGGGCCGCCCCTGGCCAACTTGGGGCCCCAAGCGACATTGTGAGATGAGCCCCCCCCCCCCCAACCCACAGGAGTTTGATTGATTGAATTGATTGATTGATTAATTGATTGAAAAGTTTATTAACAGCTTGTATATTGGGTACAGTACAGTACAGCTCAAAACATACAATTGTTAAGGGGATGCAGACCAGAGAAAGACTTTCGTCTTGTTTACATCAGGGTCCCCCATTTCCAATTCATCATATCATTTAAGACATATTGAAAAAAAATGTTTTGAAAACAAAGTAGGCTACTTTGCAAATATAATTCCTGTTTATTATTATTATTATCAACACAGTTACTTTTTTATACAGTGAGGTAAATGGTAAAATGCTCCATGTTTTTTAGGCTGTAAACTTTAACTGTTATGTAAGCCAACTAGACAGACAGTGTATCACTCTTCCTCCTGTACATCAGCAGATAAAAGGCATAACATACTTGAATTAATGGTAAATAAAGAATGCTGGAAATAACTGCAACTCCATTAGCCTGTATGCTATGCAGAGACTGCCTTCTTCATGTCGTGAATTGCAGCTGATGTTTTAATATGGCAATTGGCAATTTGACTTATACAACATTCGCAAGTTGTACATTTGACTCATACAATAACCCACCTTCGAGTGATGCTCTAGTTTCTTCATGTTTTGTTTATTTCCCCTCTTGCTTGCGCCGGACTGAAACTGTCTTTTCACCGACATCTCTTCACCTGCAGTAGTGGCCGTATCAAAGCCGTGATTGGTCAGATGTCGATTCATTGCAGTCGGGTTACAGACGTGCTCCCCTTGTCACGTCTCACTTTTCGCAGGGGTGCGCGGAGAACTGCACGGAGAACTGCGCATAGCAGCTGAGGCCCTCTGGGCGGGGCCCCCTGCGCAAGGCGGGGCCCCATGCCTGTGTGCATGTGTGTGAGCACCTATCTGCAGAGACACTGTTCTGTATTGTTTGCCAGCTTGAGCTCCTCCTTATCTCTTTTCCCAGGCTGCACACAGACAGATTCAATTTGTGTGTGTGTGTGTCTGTGTTTGTGTCTATGTGTGTGGACTGTTAGAAGTGCAGTCCAGTGTGACTCTCCTGAATCTCACATTGATAAGACTTAACTCCTCTGATAAGCTTATTGGAGCAAACTTCAGATCAATGCTGCTGTCTGCTAGCTAAGCTAAGCCCTATTGTCTGCTTCTGTAAATCTTTCAGTACACCTCGGCATTGACAAGACCAAATTACACATCCATGCTTACTTTTCCAGGGAATATTACAAATAATAAACATTTATTCTATGCCAAATCCCCATTTTCCTCTTGCTGAAATTGCCAAATACAACAACATATTGACCTTTCAGACGAACCCAGCTTCATGCATTTTTCATTCAAACTGGATTTTCAATGTATAAGAGAAAGAGCCACTGTGTTATGCTGTGTGTACGCTACACACTGGAGGACCATCCATCATTATCTCGCATGAGATTTTCAGTAAATAACTCCATGATTCAGGGGATTGTCCGGGGTGGTTGTTTTCTATTTAAGTTGCCGTAATAGCTTGGTATATATATATACAGTATATATAGAAAAAGGACTCACCTGTCGTGATCCCCATTGCAAAGAGCCCGGACGGGGATTTTAAAGGCCTGCCACACTGGGTTCAACGTATTCTTGATCACCTCTGTCTTGTGGCAGATGGTAAACCTGCAGGGAGAAAGAAAAGAGAGGAATTGACATGTGTTGGTAGAGAGAGGGGAATAGAAGAAGGCAGTGGAGTTAAAGAGGAGACTTTCAGCAAACTGAGAGTAGACGTGAAGGGTTGTGGAAGCTTCACACACATGCACAGAAATACACAAAAAAAACACACACTGCAAAGAGGGGATTTCTGTTCTGTTGGCTAGCAGGTGGACTCGGTATCTTCTCCACTCAGAGCACAAGGTCTTATCTGAGTTGTCACACACTGCAGGGTGGAAAGCCCACAGACACACACATTTAGAATCTATGTGAACATACAGCACTGCACTCTAACGCCTCCTGCTTCCACACACACTCACATTGGTGTGTTCCACATGTAATGCACCCACATGCTTTAAACAGGCAGCATGGCTTTTCATCTGAGCGGCAAATCGATAAAACCAATTTCCTTTGGGTGCAAAGGAAGGATTAAACTATACATGAAAGGGGAGAAGGACGATGGAGGGAGAGTGAAGGCGGAAGGGTGGGGGGGGGGGGGGGGGGAACTCACGTGCCGTCCTCGTTGCTCCTGTAGAAAACCAGGAAGGGGTCGGACTTGCCGAAGAAATCTTTTTTGTCCAACTTGTTCCCGCAGAACTGCATCATCACTGATTCCTGATGAAGAAATCAACATAGAAAAATAAATAAAATCCATATGTAAGAATGTAAGAATATGGCTTAGACATTGTACACACACATTCCCGAGTGATGTGACTTTTCAATGCTGGAGAATGTCTTTATTATTATATTTCCTTTCCCACTGATAATTATACAATAAATCCAAACGCTTTTTTTTTTTTTATTGTTGACTTAAAGTAATGTGTGATTTTGTTTTTCTATGGTGCCCCAAAAAATTATTTTAATATAAATGTAAATAGTTTAAAAAGGATGAAAAATAGGTAGATCTAAGTTAAACACACAAAAGGGACAACATTCATTATTTTTAAATGAGTTTGATCAACTCTCTGCAGGCAGAAGAAATACAAAAAAAAGAAAGAGCTTTTGTTAAAGGAAAGGAAAAGCTACATTTATATCTAAGCTGTGTTTTAATAATTTTACTTACACTGTTATTTATTGATGTATTCCATGATATATTGTTAAATATCTGATTTGTATTTCTTTATGTGGAAACTAAACACATGAAATCCCCAGCAGTCTACATGCGTCCTCACCCTGCAGTTGTTCAGCTCCTCGGCTTTCACGATGATGGTCCCGCATTTCTTCCCTTGAATGCCCCTGAACACAACACGAGAACAGGTTAAGGGTTAACATGTCACCAACATATGGGGGGTGTATTTGGCATGACAAGGTTTTTTACTCTGCTTTCCTCTGCACTCGACTACGAGGTCAAGTCGCCTTTGTGAGATTATCTCAACTTGACCGTGTCTCATTGCTTTGTTTGTTTACTCAGAGATATTACATACAGCCCCTGAGGCGTGTTGCCTGGATAGATTTGTCAGATTTGTACCGGTTTCCACAAAACGTGTATTACTTTAAAAAAAAAAATCTGAACTACAGTTTCAGTGGACAAACCACAAGGTATTTTCACTTCAGTTCTGTCAGAAAGTGGCCTCACATGACCAGTTTCTGCTTTGTCAATATAGACCTCACATTGGCTGTTAAGTATATGGATTCAGCTGTCGATGGGTTGGACTTAAATCTAAATTAGGCATAATGAATGTTAAGGACTTCAGTGTAGCATCATTTCCGGTCAAACAGTTCAAATACAGACAACTCCTCCTTAAATGTGAAAATGCATAATGAAGACTTACTGGAAATCTTTGCTTTATGAACACACCCCTGTTTAGACTCTGGTCAGGAATAATAACATAGTAGAGCCTCACAACATTTACAGAATACAACATGTACACTGCTGAGCATGAGGTGTGTGTGTGTGTGTGTGTGTGTGTGTGTGTGTGTGTGTGTGTGTGTGTGTGTGTGTGTGTGTGTGTGTGTGTGTGTGTGTGTGTGTGTGTGTGTGTGTGTGTGTGTGTGTGTGTGTGTGTGTGTGTGTGTGTGTGTGTGTGTGTGTGTGTGTGTGTGTGTGTGTGTGTGTCATTGGGCAGTTGCAGCTGTGGTCATGAGCACTCAGTCTGTTAGGGAATAGTCAAAGATGGATTGTTTATCTTCTTAGATGTAACCCCTTCTCTTTAATTGAATATTTCACGTAGAAAGTGACTATTTATACCACAAATCCTTGAAGAACGCTTTGTATTTCTTGCATGCCTCCACGGTGAACAAAGCTGTGTTGCTTTTGTCAAACACGGAACTAATTTGCAAGAATTAATCAAGACGTTTCTCAGTTTTTCGATTATTGTGCAAGTTGGAGGCATGGGAGAACAATTAAGAATTCAAAGTAACACAGGGCGGAAAACTGATGTACAAAAACTCATTATGGGGTACTTATCTTGGTAATAAAACTGAGATATAATATAATAACTTTAATATAGTCCTCATACCAGAACCAGAGCCAGAGAAGTATTTAAAGAAACATATTCAGAGCAGAAGAATACAATTTCAGCCGACATTTGAGAGGTTTTGCACTCTGACAAAGGGCCTGTCGTGTGATGATCTCCACTCTCAGAGACCCATCTGGCACAAATCCACTCAGGCAGTCATTCAGACAGCACAGAATTGGGGTTGAGGACATATTCCTGAATTTAAAGCAAGTCTCTTTTTAATCAAGCACTATATATAAGTGGAAATTGCTTTTGAAATGGCAGACTTGAGCGAATGCTTTGCATTCACCTTGTAAAGGTGATGCCCTTTTTTACTCGGAGATCTGGAGATGGGAAAGTAAAATAGCCTCTTGAAGGAAGAGACTTTCTCTATGTCTTTCCTCATTTCCATTTATCAGACAGCACACACAGGTGGGGTCAGAGTATGGATCATGTGTGTAAAATGAGTAAGATATATTCAGAGGAAGACTGAGTAATACTAATTAAGATTTGGAGAACCTGTGAGGCGGATCTTAATGTCCTGCCTAAAGCAGCAAATGCCAGGAAATCGATATTGAAGTTGAGTTGAAGGAGAGATTTTCCAGCACTGTGGTTGATGTTATGTGAAATATTTTAGGATCATCTCAAAACATATTTACCATGGAGATAGGAGTACTCATGTGCATAACCCAAATAAAAACAACTAACCGCTTCTAGTTCTGTAACATTAATGGCGCCCAGAAGTATGAATTGAAATGTCTTATTTTTCGTGTGACCTCTTTAATATAGCCATAGAAACAATAGGGATCCATCCCACCTTCGAAAAAAGCTTACTGTCACATCCACTGCACATGGATAACAATGAACAAGATAAAAGTCAAATTAAATCAAAGTTTTGCGAAAAAAAGGTGGCTAAAAATATTATTTTGCAATATTTTCACAAGAGCTTGACTCTCAACCTACTTGATTATCAATTTCAAACATTAAACGACGACATTTGTCACCCAGGTTCTAGCTCTTTACCTTTTACACCAAATGATCTAATTTGCCTGCTCTCCCGTTATGGCAGCGTTATATATTATTTAAAGTGTAAACTACTACTTGTTAACACAGCGTTATGTCTTAACTGGCCATAAAAAACGTGACCACATCACCCCAATTCTGGCCTCATTGCACTGGCTTCCAGTTCCGTTCAGAATAGATTTTAAAATCCTTTTATTTGTTTTCAAAGCCCTAAATGGGCTGGCTCCGGCCTATGTAGCCGAACTCCTCCATCGCTACACCCCAGGCAGAACCTTAAGGTCGGCTGATCAGTTGCTGCTGATAGTGCCTAAGACCAGGCTCAAAACCAGAGGGTACCGAGCATTCGCAGCAGCGGGCCCCAGTCTCTGGAACATTTGGCCCCTCCATGTGAGGTCGGCCCAGACCCTAGGGGTTTTTAAATCAACACTTAAAACTCACTTTTTCTCTCTGGCCTTCTAGGCTTCTCTTATCAAGAATAACTTTTATCCAAGACCTTTTCCCTCTCTAACCTCTCGAGGTTTTATTAGAGGGAAACAGTTTGTAGAGGCCGGGGAGTGTTACAATTCGTAGACACAGCGTACCTCCCTATCTCTCATCAATTTCCAACTAAGGCTCCAGTGGGGACCTTGTTCCCTGAGTGTGCCTCTCCACCTATGTTTCTTACTCTCTTACTTGCTACCCTTTGCCCTCAACCTATTGTAAGGGAGTGCTTGTTCTTCCGTCTGTCTGTCTGTGTCTGTGTATTCTCTTGTTCCGATTAACCCAGCCACATTTTTTTCTTGTTTGTGTCTATATCTACGCCGGGATCCGGAGTCGAGGCTGATCTTCTTGCTGTGGTCCTGTGTCTTGGATCCTCTATCCTGAGTTCTGGATTAAGTCGTGGACTTCGGGTCGTGGCTAAACCTGTCTCTGCGGTCCTGCCTGGGTCTCGTCATGCTGCCTCCCTGAAGGCCCCCACAGGATTGTAGTTGACATCTTCGTAGATGCATCTTGTTACAGACACATGCATTTCCTAACATTTGGACTACCTATGCTGTAAAATGTATTATCTCTTCGATTTACACACGGCATCTATTGCACGTCTGTCCGTCCTGGGAGAGGGATCCCTCCTCTGTTGCTCTTCCTGAGGTTTCTCCCATTTTTTCCCTTTAAACTGTGGGTTTTCTCCGGAACTTTTTCCTTGTACGATGTGAGGGTCTAAGGATAGAGGGTGTCGTTTATTTATTTATTTATTTTCTCATACTGATATTCTGAACAAACTGTGTTGTTGTATTTGCTGTAAAGTGTCTCTACTGTAGGCTATTTTTATTATATGTACAGCACATTGGCTCGACCAAAAATCGTTTATAAATGTGCTATATAAATAAAACTTCATTTGATTTGATTTGATTTAACAAGTATGGAATAGACACAAAAAGCTATAGCTATATATTTTTTTAAAGTAATACATGTTTTGTGGAATGTTTTGCTGCGTGGGTGTAACAGCTATATAAGATGCAGATGTCACCAGCGTGTATCAGAACTAAATAGAATGTAATGTTAAAACAGAAAAAGGCGCAGCTCATGTTAAAGACATTTACTTTTTTATGCTTTTGAACACCTATATACCGAAACTTTTTTTTCTAGCAGTTTGTTAACCTTTGTCAACGTACATGCATGTTGTTTGAAGAAGCAGAAAACAAGCAGCTCATACAACTTGTATTGCTTCTCACCCTCTCAGTCTCAATCATGTCATCTCATTGCAACAATATGCAGGGAGAAACAGTTAAAAGTCACACACACACACACACACATCCGTCAAGCGCCGGAATCTGGGTCGCCATGACAACTCTGCCGGTTTCGGGCCCCCCACTGTGAGATACCGAATGGGATTCCTCTGCTCATTATTTCCTCCGATGCTTGTTCTTGTTGCTCTATTTTCTTCTCCAAAAGGTGGTTATTAATCTGTCTGCGACATCGGCCTCAAAATGATGCGTGGGCTTCAGGATTGCATAGTTACTGGAGGAATTATGTATGTCATAGTTTTGCCTTACATACACAGACACAGTATGTTGTAAAGACAAGAAGGACTGTGCAAAGCTCAAATCTGAATAAAATATAGTTGAAACGCTTTTATAAACTGTGCGCTGCTATTTATGTGAATGTGTAAACTGCCTCTGAGAAAATTAGTTTTCCCCTTGTAAAAAGACAAATTATGACAACTTATGAGTAATAGCAGCACGTTGTTGTGCGAGTATTGTTGTCATTTAAAAAAAAACAAGCACTGGTACTATTTGTTACAAGAGAGAGGATCATCCTAGATGCGAGAAAAAGCCAGACAATTTGTTTTTAACTGTTATATATATCTATTCTTGGTGGACTCAATGTGTGTTTTGAATCAAAACTAAACTTTTAAAAATGCTCATCATCCAAAAATGTCATCATCCTCACATTAAAGTAAAATGTTTTCCCCTTTTTCGATTTTGCATGAAAAGAAAAGGCACTTCAAAGTTGAAATGTGCCTCAGGAATATCTCTGTGTGTGTGTGTGTGTGTGTGTGTGTGTGTGTGTGTGTGTGTGTGTGTGTGTGTGTGTGTGTGTGTGTGTGTGTGTGTGTGTGTGTGTGTGTGTGTGTGTGTGTGTGTGTGTGTGTGTGTGTGTGTGAGTGAGAGAGAGAGAGAGAGAGAGGAAACACTGTGAATCCTCTAATCAAGGCACATGGATTTGCAATCAGTGTCTGGCAAGAGACGGGTAATTAAGTCTAGGCCACTTCTCGGCTACAGCGTTAACACACAC